ACATTCCACATTGTGCAGATACATAAAGATATGTATTTGGAAACTGAGATTCTGAGAGGGACGGATACAGAGTCTCAAAAGCAAGATTAGCAGAATTAGCCCCCTACAGGCCTAACATACAGCCCTAGCCACACTCATCATATAATTTATTTTTTCCTGGCAGAGTCGGTGGAAATAGGGGCCTGGTCTCACTAAAAGGAATGAGATTATTGGATTTTTTTTCCCCTAAAGCCAGAAGCTTTAAAATGCTTATCATAAGAAAATCATATATCAGCTCTTGAATAAATCTATAATCCATCTATCATAGCCATTGGCACACACCATAGACAGCTACTGTCCAGAGGACCAGTCATATACTGCAATTCCAGTTTCTTGGTATACAGAGAGAGCTTCCACGAGTCTGCGGCAGTGGGCTGAGAATTAGCAGGCTCTAGTCTGTATCTACGTTCCCTTACAACACTAGGTGCTCCCAGCTGCTCTACCACTTGACATATACATTAAACATATTACATAGAAACGGAGTGGGAAGTTGGGGCGGGGGGGGCATGAATTCAAAAGTCACTGCAAATGTCCAGGGGCACCTTCACTTAGGAGCTTATGACTCCACAAATTGCCTCAGACCCTTAGAGGTCTATCTTCCCACTTCCCCAAGCACACAGGCTACTGGCTGTACCGGGCCTGCATGACCACCTTCAAGCAGGGCAGTCTGCCATCCGTCAAGCTCGCCCTTACCACTCAGTGACACGTTCTGAGGGATCTGCCCACCCAGAGCCAGCAGTCTGCAGAGCTAGGAACCTATGCTCCGCTACCTTGAGTGACATGGAATAGCAGGCCTGTAGAAGCTGCTTTTATTCGTGTCACCACTCTCATGATGTTTGGACAAGAAGTAAAACAACCAGACTTAAATTTCTCTTCTCAGGCCTTGTGGGCACTAATCACAGGGGACTGAGCACATCTTAAATGAAACCTGGGGACGTGGAAGTTCATGTTCTGCTGCTGGTTCTACTCTCTGTCTATGGACCTAAATTCCTTTAGCTCTTACTGTTTTCGTCTTCCCATCTGTAAAATGGCCCTGACACCATCAGCCCACCCAGAAGGTAGCAATGGGCCAGATGGATGTTCTTGATTTTAAGTGTCCAATAAAGTCATCCAGGCTGCCTGTAGTCATCGGCCCATTGCCTTTAGTTCAAATGTCAAATCTGCTTCTGCAACACTTAAGAAATCCCGCATCCTGTATCTCTGAATATTTTACAGAGAACTGCAGACAACAAAGAGCAAGACAGAAAAGGAAAGAGAATACACAAATACTGAGATAACAAGGGAAAGGGGTAGATATAGAAATGTGGGAAGCACTTTCTGGTTATGGAGCAAAAGACAGAATGGCAAAGGATGAGGCCCATGAATAAGATGCATAAGTGAACAGTAAAGTCACTGAAAGTAAAAAAAACAAAAACAAAAACAAAAAACCAGGAAACTGTTGGAAGGTTTGTATTTTATATGCAGGTTACTACTGTTGGCTACAAAGAGAAATCCTTTAAAAAGTAAGAGTCTTTTGAAGCAAGAGGTAGGAAGGTCTAAACTAATTAAAAGCAGGTTGGCTAACGACAGGCAACATCACGTGTGCCCAGAGATAGAGTGTAGCCATAAAAGCTTGACGCAGGCATGCAATGTATTAAGTTGGGAATGTGTGTCTCTCCAGCTTCCTATCTATTAAAGGAACAAACAATTTACATGTTGCTGCATTATCGGAGCATGATATGTGGAGTGTCAACCCTTTCTCTTCACGTCGAACCATGTTCAGTCACAGCAGAGATGGGGCTGTGTGGGGGTGGGTTGGGGAGGGGAGGAGAAAAGCAGGGAGAAAGAAAGTTTTGAAAAAAATCTCTGCCTCAGCAAAAGTTTTCATTAAAATTTTAGACAAATGATCCCTGTGTCCTTCTCCCTTGCTGCCTGGGGCTCCATGCTATTTCTATGCAAATAACAACCTCGTGGTTTATATCTTATTATTTCCACCGGAGCTGCAGCGACATGACCTGAGACGTGTAAGAGGTGGGTAGGGGCCGGGGAGGCGGGTGGAGTTAGAGAGAGGAGAGAGAGAGAGAGAGAGAGAGAGGGAAAAGGAGAGAGAGAGAGAGATGGAGTGGGTGTTCACTCAAGTGTGAAAAAATATTGTCAGGAGTGAGCGTCAAGAACAAAAAAAAATTGCTAGGATAACGTGTTTATTTCAGTCCCCCACCCACCCCCACCCCCCTTGCAAACCGGCACCTTTTAAAATTCATTGGGCATCAGGCGATCATGCACAATCCATCTGCTTTCACTTTATCATTTGCATTTCATGCCTCCTGGCTTTTGATGTGCTGATACTTTGATGCAGTCAGGAGACGCGCATTATCATTATTTCAATTTTCAAAGGGGTCAACGGGATCGGCACTTGCACACAGATTTTTTTTTCCCTACAACCTCTGCACTCCCCCTCCCCTCTGATTCTTCACCCCAATGTTTAACATAAAGGATGAAGACTCAAAAAGGCAGGGGTCAAATGTTTACAGTCTGAAAGCTCGCATACACCGCCCAAGTCCCCACTTTACACAGATACATGCAGACGACAGGCTGGATGGTCGAGGCTCGAGGACGCTCTACAGGGCTCCAGACACACACAAAGACTTTCTCACACGTGGAGACTCAGGGAGGCACAGAGAGAGAGAGAGAGAGAGAGCTAGACACAAAGAGACAGGGACCAGCACACACACAGGAAGAGACACGCACTCACCGTGACCTGTACACACGCCCAGAGGATGCGAGGCACAGAGAGTCCTACAGGAAAAAAGGCAGACATGCAGAGAGACACTGGTGCACACAAAGACAGGACGTGCACAGGGAGTGAGCTGGAGGAGGCAGTCTGAGTGTGTGACTCCCGTCTAGTGTCCTTTCTCCTACCTGAGAGGCAAAGGGGCAGAGGGGACATTCTTAATGAATTTGCATGAAATCAGGGTCTTCCAGCTCCATGGCTCTATACGGAAGAGCCAGGGACATGAAGACAGCGGGGCAGGCAGAGCAGGATTAGGTAACCTCTTTAACTGATCACTCCCTTCAGCTACAAATGATCATGTCCTTCTGGAAATGAGCATTGTGGGGTAAGTTACAGCTGGGGCTGTACTGTCTTTTCCTTGCAACTAGACTTGTCCTTTAACAAGCAACCCTTCAGGCTAGGAGGAAAGTGACTATAATGAATTTGATCAGAACAGTTCAACCAGGTATTAAGAAAAAACATCCCTAATGCCTTCCTTGTGGCACGAATGAAATTCAACTAGCAAGTTTTTAGGGACAAACAAAGAAAAACCCCAGCAGCAGCAGCCGCAGCAGCAGCAACGTCATCACCTTTGCTTTTTGTAATGTTCTTTGGGTGCAACACAGCATCGGGGAAAAAATAAGACACTCAATGTAACAAGATACTTTTCAGAAATTAGGCTCTTTGTTCAGGTCTGGGAACATTACAGAAATATAGACGTCTTTAAATTCTACCCCCCACAGATAATGGTACCCACTGGTCTCTTCAACGTTCATCAATATCTCATCCTAAGAATGTATCTGAAAGAGCAACTTAAAAAAAAAAGAAATGTAGACAGTTTCTCCCGCTGCAATAATTTCCCTCGGTAGTGGCAGTTCACAGTCTCTACTCCCAGACTACTCTCCAAAAAGGGAGCATGACATCCAAGCTTGTCATTTGCTAGCACTTTTTTGTCTGTCCTTGGAGAGAAAGGTCAGCCCAGAGAAGGGCAGGGAGTTCATATGGACGCAGAGAGCAAGCTCACTGCGCCACACGCCTGTCACTTCAGGCGACCCCAAAAGCTAACTGGACTGATGGGAGTCAACTTTTTCCAAATGGGAATGATAGGATAGGACACTTAATTCCTAAACTTCCACTTGAAGTCAAGGCTTGATGAAAAGTTTGTCCAAGTCTAGTGAACAATTTAGCGTGCGTGTAACTCCACAAGCGCAAGGGCCAAACCACGTGCGAGAGAGGAGAGGAGAAGGGAACTGAAACTGTAATGAGGGCCAGTGCTTTGGAGCCGGGTACCAGGCACTCCTACCTATGTTTTCTCATTTGATCTCCACAGCATCGTTTAAAGGTGGCAATTATTATCCCCCTTTGACAGATAAAGAAAGCCATGAACCTGAGAGGTTATATGAGTTGCACACGGTCAGTCGGCCAGTCTCAGAGGATTACATACTCCTGGCTCTGGAGAGAAAATAATGTTCCTATGTCTGCAGAGAAGTCAGAACTACACTGTCCTTTGTATGTCAGGTATTCTTTGACAGGTTTCACTCTCAGAAGCAGTGAACTCACCATCCATTTCCCCACTCTTAGGAAAAGCCACTATGAGCTTGTATTGAAAAGGCACAATTTCTTTTGAAGGGAAGATAAATCTCTATGTCATATTCTTTCTCATCAGTCCACCCATGCCTCCATCCACCCACCTTCCCATTCAATATTTGCCAAGTACTTCCTTATGGACAGGGGACCAACATAAGTGCCTTTTTTTTAGAGTTGCTTTTGCAAATTTCCCAGAATATTAGAACTTGATATCCTCGACGCATTCAGGGGATGTTTCAGAGGTAGCTCTGTGTCTGGGAGTAGATCTCACATCCTATGCTCACAGATGAGAAGAAGGGAAGGAGGGCGGAACAGAAGCATTCGATTAATTCTCTGTCTTCCTAGAAAGACATTAGATGTAAGCTCTTTGCAGCAGCAGTTTTATCTGGTTTGTTTATTAACATACCCACAGGGCTTGGAAAGGTGACTGGCACACAGTAGGTACTTAAATACTCATTTTGTTGAATGAAGTGAATGAATGAAAAGGCAGGGAAGAGGGAGGGAGAGAAGAGAAAGAGGCAAGACATGGATAGAATGGCCTCTCCCCAGTCTGGATCTAGAATTAAGCATTCACGACAATCTTCAAAAGGCTTCTTATACTTCTCCCCACACCCCAGAAACTTACTTTGTTGAGGGCCCCAGCTCCTGTCAGAATTAAGTGAGAATTTTCAACCTGGATGGTTCTCTGTCCCAGCCGGACGAGGTAAGCCCCAATTCCAATGGCCCGGCAAGTAACCTTAAAAAAGAATAAATTTTCCACGTTACAAATTTATGTTCCCTCCCAAGCTGTAAGAACTGAGGCACAGGTATGTAAAATCTACATCAACAGAAGGAAAAAAAAACTGATTTCTAGGAAATCTGTTTGATTAAAACCGATGTCCTGGTGAAAGAAAAGAAGGTACAGAACTCACTCAACGATTCAAAGAACAGACAGTTAAAGCATCATAAGCCCTTTCCTTCTCTTACGCTTTTGCCTATTTCACAGACGTTTGACGTCTACACTAGGGGTGTAAACAAGGAAAATGTTAAGAGAAGGAATTTAAACTACTAATACCCTGGTAGAATATTTAGGGAAACAACAAGTTAAAATGCAGGCTAACAGGAGGTGCTAGGTTTATCCGGGAAGTTCAATTATTTACATTATCCTAACTTCCTACTATTGTGCACAACTGGAGTCAAGTTGTAGATATACAGTTTTTAAGAAATGCTCTCATTTGAGACTGAAATAGCAGTGATGGGGGGCAAAAACAAATCCTAGTCGCACGGTCAGCTCCTCAAAAGTCCCACACTCGGGCAAGATTTACCAGGCTAATGGTGATGATCTCGTCGTAAGCCAGCGAAGATTCTCCAGCAATCATTCCAGAACCTCGAAGGTTCTCGGCTCCAAGTCCCTCTTCCTTCCCAATAATATCAGTTATCTTGTACCTGTTGGATACAGCCAGGCCAAATTACAAAGGCTAAACACAGTAACAGCAATCCATTAAAAGAATAATCACCAATAAAAGGCTGCTAAAAGCATACTGAAATCTTACATTTAACACCAGGGCTCTGTACTTTTTCTTACACTCTTCATTCATAAAATATCTTTCCTTCTTACCTTGGTGCCTATTTTGTCTGGAAGCAATATGGTATAGCAGAAAGAGCAAAATTTGGAATTAAGTAGACAGGTTTAAATCCCTGCTCTGACACATACAACAGTGTGACTCCAGGGATAACAGTAACTTCTGTAAAATGGGATTAATAGTATCTACTTCTTAAAAAATATATATTTTATTTATTTATTATTGTATTATTTGATTTTTTAAAAAACTTTGGAAGGGGGATGTAACTAGGTCTGTTTATTTTCAGAGGAGGTACTAGGGATTGAACCCAGGACCTAGCGCATGCTGAGCACACGCTCTACCACTTGAGCTATACCCTCCCCCGGAACAGTATCTACTTCTGAGGGCTGACATGAGTTAAACTGAAGCAACAAGGAGAGGGTCTGACACATAGATGGCGTTCAGATATTAGATCCTCTCGCTTACTTTCTAGGACAAGTTTCTCAAAAGCAGGGTCCATGTATATCTCTCTACAATAAGCAACAGCCATTAAATTGACAGTTTCAGATATATGTTATATAGGAATTGAAAAAAAATCTAGAGGCATAGTGAGAGCGCTCAGCCCAGTTTCTCAAGTCAAAAATCCTCTCTCTTTCCAAGACAAGGATGAAGGGGAAGGTCAAAACAGTGCAGTCTATCCCTGCTCCTTTTTAAGTACCAAATGTATACATGAGGGTGCCTGGCTAGAGTCCTCTGAGGGGCAGGGGGGATGTATGTAGGAATAAAATGCTGGCCAAGTTGTCCAGAAAACATCCTGTGGATCCAGTGGGAGCCACTCATCTGTCTTCCTGGCACAGGATGAGGAGTGATAGCTGATAATGGGAAATGGGAGATGGGGAATGCAACTAATAAAACAAAGGAAAAATACAAAGTTGGAAGTAGAGATGGGCATATATTATTTATTGTTCCATGTGTACCCAAAAGGCTTGGCACTGGGCTCAGTTTTATAAATTGAAATAATAAATAAATATCCCATTGTGGCTTCTAAACTTTTTTTTTTTTGCCCCCATATTTTTCTGCTCCCTTACTTCCAGCCTTCCATCAGTCCCTCTTCTTTGCTCTTGCTGTTGGTCTGTGGCTTTGCACCTCTGCTTCCCAATGATTCCTTCTCCCAATAATTCCTCAGTTCTTCCTTTCGTTCTGTATCTAGATTCTGGATTCTAGAGTTATGTTCCAGGTAAAGCTAATCTCCCTTCAGGGATTAATGAGACACAGTAAATTGTTGGAGATGGGGAAGGGGAGTGTTTTGTTTTGTTTTTTTTAAATAAAGTCTACATGCCATATATACACAAATACTCATGGGCCCAGTCAGCCTTCCTTGCAAAGCAGATCTTCTCCCTCCCAAGGAGTGCATACTGCTTCTCAGGTATTCCTGATCTGCTAAGTGGCATCCTCTCCCATTGTATTATATGAAAAAGAATAAAAATTTCCCATTTTCTGCTCTATGATCTGAGTCTTCTACCATTGAGATGATCATTCTTTCAAGTAGTATCAAATTTTAATGTTACTTATAACAAAAAACCTTTGTGTAGTGTAGTACAATTAACAAAAACACATCCACGCATATCATTTCTGATCCTCAACAACAATCCAGTGTGACAGGGAATAGCACCTCCATTATCACAGATAGTACCAATAATAGCCAGGATTTCTGATTGCTCACTATGTGCTTAGCGCTGTGCTAGGGGCTTTACATATATTATTTCACTTGATCTTCATCATACAGATGAGGAAACTAAAGCTCAGAGAAGTAAACTTTTAACAAAAGCAATATACAAAATCAATAGCTTTCTGACATACCAGTAATAAAGAGTTAAAAACATATAATGGCAGGGGCAGGGGAGGGATCCTATTCAGAGTACCAAGAAAAAAAAAGCAAATCATTTAGGGATAAATATTAAAAAACTGGCAATATGCCACCACACCCACACTGTGCACCAAGGCATCCTGGGGTGTCACCATGAACTGTCAGGGGCACAAAAGGATTATTTCAAATTTTGAGAGAAATACTATAATATGTGATATTTGTTGGCTCTCATGTGAACTACTAGTTTTAAGTGGTTCCTGGTTTAACGTTAGCTAGTACTACCTTCCTTTTGACAATGTCCCATCTTTGCAAAGCTGTGTTTTTAGTTTCTTTGGGGGGAAAAAAAGTTCCACACAAAAATCAGTGCAGAACAAGATTTGAGGGTGGCTATGTTCAAGCTGATTTCAAGGTTTGTGATGTCGTACAGATGCAAATATCCCATTAGTAAGTAACTGTAATTATTTAAGAATGGAATAAAAATTTTTTTCAATTACGTTTACTATATAGTTGACCCCTACACAACGCCAGAGTGAGGGGCTTTGACCCCTCAGCAGTTGAAAATACACCTACAACTTACAGCTGGCGCCCATCTATGTGGTTCCTCCAGACACGTGGGTGCGTGTCCGCGGATTCGACCAACCACAGTGCGGCTCTGCTGTTTTCACTGCTGCAAATGTCTGTGTGTAAGTGGACCCGCAGCGTTCAAACCCATGTTCTTCATGGCATAAATGCTTATGAGGCTGTTTGGGGCTGACTACTTAATAATCAGAAATATTAGATATATTTTTTTGCCTAAAGGTGCTGTGAGCCAAGAAAGGTTGGGAACTTCTGGTATAACCTATATGAAGAAAACTACAAAACTTTAAAAAATACACTTAAATAATTGGAAAAACACCATGTTTCTTATTGGGAAGTGTTAATACTATGAAGCTCTCAGATCTTCCTAAATTTATTTATAAACCTAATGCAATTTGAATCAAAATCATTATGGAAAGTTTTTTGAAATTAAAAAAAAAAAAGCCTACGTGTTAAAAAGAAAAAAAATAGCTAATAAAATTTGGGAAAAAAATGAAGGCTGTGAGGAACTCCGGCCTATTAAAAGCAGTTAAAATAGTGTGGCATTAGTCCAAGAATAGATAGAACAAAAAACAGAATATAAAGTCTAGCAATTGAGTTAAGATTATTATAAAAGTGAGGAAACTATGAATTGTTCAATAAATGGTATTGGCACAACTGATTAACATTTTGGAAAATACTTGCAGATAGATTACAAAGATGTTCAACTTCACTGGTGATCAAAAACACCAGTTAAAGTAACAACTGCTGTCTTTATCCTCATCTGTTATTATTATTATTTTTAATCCTATTCTGTTAATTGACAATAATCAATATTGGCAAGGCTGGAGAAAAATTAAAGAGGGGAAAACAAGCACTATCATACTGCTGGTGGGAGTGCAGCTCTTGGGAGGAAAATCTGAAACTATCAAAAAACTTCTAAAAATGGACATACTTTTTGACCAGTAATTCCATTTTTAGAAAGTAATTCAAAGGGAATAATAACTAGAGATATTCCTAAAAGTTTATATACAAGAAGGATCAGCCCAGGGATAGAGTAGTAAAAAAAACTGGGATAATCTGAATGTTCAAATATGATATATTAATTATAATGAACTATGGTGAAACCATTATATATCATATCTTCAAATAATGTTATAAGAATATACCAAAGTTCCCCCAAAATAATTTTCAGTGAAAAGAACAAATTACAAAAGAGCTTTTCTGTTACCCTGATTATGCAGGAAAAAAGACATATAATAGAAAAGATAGCAAGAATATAATATACCTTAGTAACTGTGATCTCCTGGTAGGACTATAGCTGATTTTTTTATCCTTTTTTCCCATAGTTGTTTACGTGTTCCAAATTTTAAAAAATGAATAGATATAATTATAATTTTTAAATCTCAACCAGTAATAAGGTCTTTCAGTTAATAAGTGGCAGCGGTAAGATACAAACCCAAGACTTGTAGATGATGCAGCAATCAACCTTCATTGCTCTTCAAGGTCATGATCAGCAGGACAGTGAGGACAACATTATTATAGTCTCCTTTCTCTAGTTCACGGCCAAATTATTCTGATACTTAAGACCTACCTGGATTCTCCTTCATCCTCCACATGTTCACAATGGACAGAGTTGAGAGCACTGACTCTCTTATAATCTTGAGGGGTCAGATATAAATATTTGAATCCCTGTGAAGCACAAAGAGTTTTTAACGCGTTATATGCCATCACCACATAATCAGAAGACCCAGCAAAGCATGCATAATGCAGTTTGTTCTTGGGAGTAAGCTAGCTGTAAATTGCCAACTCCCGTCTCAGAGTTCCTGTCTAGCAGAATACTGGCATCGACAGTTCTCCTTTGAAAGATGGAAGTGCCTATTTCTGCAGTCACTGACTCTGTGTCCTTGAAACAAGACATCCTGTAGCAGCAACTCCGAGTACATTCCATTCGTTTCCTTTTCACCAGGGTTAAAGGGTCATTTTCTGACCTTTTGTGGCACCTCTATTAAAGAGACCAACACAAAATTAAAGAATTGTGTGAATTTCTACTTTTCACTTTCTCAAATCCATAGTCCCATCAAAATATAACTGGGTAAGGGATAATGAAGAGCATCACAAAACTGGGATATTCGACCTTAAAATCAGAAGTCTATGCAGTGCTAATGATCAGTGAATCCTGAACTCACACCTTTTGCTTTTTTTAATAAACAACTCCTGATTCCTATGTCCACTAAAAAATTATACTAACATTTCAAAATTAATTTATTTTTATACATACATATACATACTCATATACAAAGTAGAGTTATCTAATATGTGTAACTTAAGTTAAAAAAAAGTAAACAGAGAAAAACATTTAAAATACCATGAGAAATTAGGTCCACTATTTAATTCAATGAATTTGTCTCCCATTGAGCTTATGTCAGAGACGTGAATTTGCCACTAATTTCGCATGACTTACGACGAGAACCTTTTGTAGCAATGAGTGTCATTAGTATGTCTGTCAGCACGTATTTATTGAGTGCCTATTATATGCAAGATACTGCTCCAGGCACTGGAAAAACAGGAAGGAACAAAACAGACAAAAATTCCTGGCCTTATGCAACTTATCTTCTAGTAGGAGAGACGGAAAATATACAAAATAAATAAGTTAAACATACAGTGTTAGCGGGAATCATGTTTAAGGAAACAATAAAATAGAGAAAGGAGACAGGAGAGCTGGGAGAATACCAGGGAAGGCTTCATGGAAAATATCATTTGAGCCAAGACCTGAAGAGCTGAGGAAATGAGACATGAGGATATTCGAGGGGAAAAGCATTCCAGGCGGAAGGAGCCGCAAGTGCACCCAGCAGGGTCAGGAGACAGTGAGGAGGCTGGCAGAGCCAGAGTATGAAGCGAGGGTGCAGCAAGAATGAGGGCAGAGTGGTACTGGAAGGCCAGTCTACACAGGGCCTTGTAGGTAACTATGTGGTGTCTGGCCCTCACTTGAGTGAGCTGGGAAGCCATTAAAGAGTTTTAATCAGAGGGGAGTCTGGATCTGTGACCTGATCTATATCTTAGCTGGATCACTCCGTGTTTTGTTGAGAGCAGACTTGGGGAGGGGGCAAGGCCAGAGGCAGGAAGGTCAATCAGGAGGCTACTGCAGTAAATGCAGGTGAGAGAAGACAGGGACTCAGACTACTGCGCAGCAGTGGAAGTGGTTAGGAGTGGCTGGATTCTGGATGTATTTTGAAGGTTGGGATGTACGTGTGATTTACTGACAGAGAGGATGTGGGACATGAGACAGAGGTCAAGGATAACGCCAAGGTCTTTTACTTAAATGGAAGAATAGAGGTATCCTTTACTGAGACAGAGAAGACTTTGGGAGGAACAAATTTAAGGAAGCAGATTAGAAGCTACATTTAGGCAGACGTGCAGGTAGAGATGCTGAGTCTGGATACATGAATCTGAAGTTCAGGGGAAGATAAAAACTTGGAAGTTTATTGGCTTATAGATGAAATTTAAAGCTTTAAGACTGGATGAGATCACCAAGGGAAGATGAACACAGAAAAGATGAGCGGTCCAGGGACCAAGCCCTGAAACACCTTCCCTATTCCTACCTCACTTTATATACAAGTCATCCTATCAAAGCCCTGGTGAGAGGGCCCTGGGTCCTGCTGGAGTTGAGACTGGGGGGTGGGGAGGGCGGCAGAGGGGGGTGGATCTGGACTTCTTAGTCCTATCACAAACCTTTGTGGCTCTAATATCTGTGTCCATTCACTTTTTTTTTAGGTAATTTTAAAAAGTGAGATGAAATTCACATCATATAAACTTGGCCATTTTAAAGTATACAATTCAGCAGTTTTTAGTATATTTACATGTTGTGTAACCATAACCACTATCTAACTCCAGGATATTTTCATCACCCCAAGAAGAAACTCTGTACCTGTTAGTGGTCACCAACAATTCCCATACACTTTTAAAATGAATTTTCCTGAAGCATATTTGACATGCAATATAAAATCCATCAGTTTTAAGTGCAGTAGTTTGAGGAGTTCTGACAAATGTGTATACTTGTATAATCACCACCACAATCAAAATATGGAATATTTCCATCATTCCTTGAAACACTCTTACATTCAAAGATGTGAAAGGCAGCAAAGGAAACTGAGAAAGAGCGGCCAGGAGGGTAAAAAGGAGATTCTGGGGTCCTGGAAATCAACAGAAGAAAGCATTTCAAGGATGAAGGCGTGACCAACTGCATGGAACGCTGCTGAAATGTCAAATAAGGTGGAGACTGAGATTTCATGATCGAATGTAACAATGCGGAATCAATGGCGACCCTGACAAAAGCAGCTGTGGTGCAATGGTGAGGGTGCAAGGGGAACTGAAGTGGGGTCCAGAGGGAATGGGAGGGAGAAGAGCATCTGGAAACAACAAGGAGAGAAACTCCTTTAGGAAATCTTGTTGTGAAGGGAAGGAACAAATAGGGTGGGGTAGTGACTGGAGGAGTGAATGTTTATATGATAAAGGGGTAGATCTAGAAGAGAGGAGAAAAGTGATGATGAGAGAAAGAAGGGGGAGAAGTGTTGATCTACATCCTTAAGTTGGCAAGAAGGGAAAGGACTGAGCATAGAGGGACTGGCCCTAGATGGGAGCAGGGACTGTTCACCAAAGGACAGGAGAGAAGGCGGAGGATAAGGGCGTGGATGCAGATATGGGGCAGCTCGTGGGAGCTCTCTTCTAATTGCTTCCATTTCCTCAGTGACTTGAGAAACACCGCCATCAGCTAAGAGCGAGGATGACGGAAGAGGGTGTTGGATGTTTGAGGAGAGAGAAGATGTGAAATTGTCAATCAGAAGGTTGGTAAGCTTGAATTTAAAGTAAGACTAGTCAACAGCACTGTGCATTTTTCTCCATCAATGTTCAGCTATGCTGGTGCAGGGAGCAGATGGAGACAGTTTGATTTAAACAAGGTTTTTGTACAGACCCAGAGTAAGCAGAATGAAGACAGAAGTAAAGAAACTGGGGGCATAGAAAAGGTAGTGATTATTATGATTAGCCTACAATTGGCTTAGGGATTTAAGCTGGATAAGAATAAAGTGAGGATGTCGGGAGGGAGTGAAGGGCAGAAGAAAGCTGGTAGGATCAGCAGTTGTTGCTCTTGGTGGATTCAAAGGGTTGCTGGGCTGGGAGCACTAAAGAGAGTGAGCTGGGAAGACAGAATGAAGAGACGGCGAAGAAAGGGATGCCTGAAATTGAGATTATGGGGAATGAGAGCTGAGCTGGGATGCAGGACAGGACTGTTAGAGGAGAGGAAGTCAAGGATGCAAGAGGCTGGGTGACGGGATGGAGCCTAGATGTGGATACAGCAATCACCAACAATATAGTGGGACTGGTAGTACTGGAGAGACTGACAATGTACCCAATCCAAAGATGCAAAGAAGAAGGAGTGGCCAAAGGGCTGAGAACATTCTGATGAGGAGCAGTGGCGGTGTGGCATAGTCTGATAACACGAGATTCAAAGACAGGGGTTTTCAGAGAGAAGGGAGGGAAAAGGGTCTGCAAGTAGCAATGGGGCAAAAGGAAGACAGTATTTCCCTCCAGGCTCAGTGGTACAAGGGAAAGAGAAATCAGTCACTATTTAAGAGGGCTAAAGGGGAAGAAGACTCTTCAGAGGACAGGCAGGTTTCAAGTAGAGCAAGAAGAATGGAGAACAATCAGAGAAGAAGCTGAGGCTATAAGAGATTTTGCTGGTGATTGACCATGTCTTGGAAGCCACAGTGGAATAGTTTAAAGATATGTACTTCCAGCTTAACATGTCTCACACTAAATGCACAGCTACCATGTCATCTAGTGTTCAACCAAAGAAACAGTCAATTTCAAAGCTGGAAGAATGATCAGGAGAACATATTGAGTGATGATTTATTTCCAACGCAGCTGCAGTTCACCCTAGGTGCTGACTTTTGAACTCAAACCTCTACCTCTCCCCCACCTCTCCACACATACACACACATACTCGCACACACCCATATAGTGTCTTGAACTATTATCTTTTCTTAGCCTGTACCTTGTAAGGATCCTCAGGATCAACCCAGGCCACGTGAAACATATGACGAATTTCCTCCGCCAGTCCAATTCTTGCTCCGCTGTTGGCTGCTACATAGATGCGTGGGATACCCTCGGCCCTGGCAAGCTCAGAAGCTCTGAGAAACAGCAAATCCTCCTGGGGTCCAAAGGACCCAATTCGGTATGTGATATCATTGCCAATGACAATGATATCTCGGCCTTCTGGATACTCAGGACTTTTAAGGGTCATTTTCCAAGCTACCATGCCGATCTGTAAAGGCACAAACAAACAAACCAATAAATACAAGCTTCTCACATGCAGAATTTTTTTTCAGGTTCCTTGAAGGTGTCAGACTGTACCTAGACACAGCCTTCATGTAAAGACATGCATTGCTGAAGGGCCAAGCTCCCTTTGGGAAAATAGGCAAATATCCTAGATACTTCTTCAAGATTATGTTGAGTTGACCATATACATATTACACAGCTGTCTCAATTCCTTCTTTAGGTCTGTTCAGAGATGGAAAAATCAGAAGTTTAAATGCACTCAGGATGCCTGCAGAAGAATACCATGGCACTGGGAATTAAATTCATGATTCCCTAACCTACTATCCTGTCTACTAAGACACTAGTTCCATCTTTTGTAAGAAACCTTTAGGCACATAAGGGAGAAGAAAGAGGACCACCATGGACTGTACAACTTTTGTAATCCTGGGTCCTTTATTGTCCTCTAGCATTTGATAGGAATAACAGCCACATTCTTTACTGGCTTGCTTCAAGGATCTTCCTTTTCTGCAAGAATTTAGTACAGCTCAGCACTGCATCCTTGTGAGCATCTTTTGCTGCTTTCTCCTAACACCAGAAAACCAAAGGAGGCAAGTAACTAACCTCTTGCTGCAATATGATACATGTAAATCTCTGCCCACTGTCCAGCAGCATCTGGCCAGCCACACAAGTAAACGATATTGACTTAACAGGCAGGGAGACATGCCTCTTTCCAAACCCTCACAGCCCTCTCCTCTTTTACATGAGAACTAGTCAATCCTACTTGTTTATTCACTAGTTCCATTTCTTTTCTATTCACTCATGCCCCAGTTACAGCTGCAGTTTTTCATGTGTGCCTGTCTCTTTCCCTATATCTGGATAAGTAATGTTTTCCATTCTTTTTTTTCCCCCGTTCCGTTCTGTCTCCCCCGCTTCCCACCCCCACCATTCGCCCCACCCCCACCCCCAAACACAAAGTCTACCAGATGAGCATTTCTGGTCCTGCCTAATGGAGCCCAGCCACATCTGCAGCCTTGGTCCCTCATCCCCAGGCTGCTGCATATCACCTCATTGGGGAGCCGGCCATCAAGAAGGGCCATTAACAGATGTAAATAGCAGCATCCCTGGAAAGCCACATGCATCACCCAGACTCAACCGGGCCAGTGATCATAAGCTCTGAGTACACATTCCTCAATCCAATTGCACATCCACTGTAATCAGGCTGGTTGAAGCTTTCCACACAGCTATTTGTGATTCTCAGCATTAAGAAATACATATATGAAACACCCACAGATAAATATAAACTATTTAATATATCATACCATTGGCCAAATACAAATCAAAATGGATATAACATACAGAAAAAAAATCCCATCACCTGAGGTAAGGTAGTTATTACTCTATCTGCTCATTAAAGACAGAGAAAGGAAGGAGAAACAGATTATCCAAAAAAAAAAATCACAGAGAAACTCCAAATATCAAGATAATTTTGGCCTCGGGTTTTAATAAGCTGGTCAATATAATGCGTGTGTGGAGAAAAACATTTTAACTGCCTTCTCCTGTTGCCGGCTAACCTGACATTTCTTTTGTTTTTCAGGCAGGAAAAGCTATTTCCTTTCAATGCATTTGTAGTTAGGAAGACTGGGTTTTATACTAAATTTTATGATGTATTAACCTTAGCCACCTAGGCCAGAGCAGCTTAGATACAAGCCTTAAAGAGTCTACTTCAGCATTTGCATGCTTACACAAACATTGCGTCTATGTGGCACTGGGCAAGTAAATAATACACTTATCTTTTGTTACTACCTGGGGACTCTAACTGTGTCAGTTGGGCAGTCAGTTCAGCAACTGGCCAGGTCATTATGCCTGCAATATTGACTTCTAATCAGGTGTCAACACAGCATCACCAAGAACACACTACTCTTTCTTTATCAAGGTCTTTCCAAAGTGTGTTCCTCATCAACTGACCCCCTCCCTGCTTAGAAAGTACCACTACAGAACGGAGAATGCTAGCTCAGTCTTAGTATAGTGAGATTCCTTATTGGAAGAGATTAAGTTTTGAATAAGCACAACGGATAAATATCTAAGGAAGCATCTGTTGCTCAATTTACATCAAAAATTAGATTTTACTGCTAATCAAATGATAGAGTGTATCATGGTGAACATGAACTTTGGAATCAAGCAAACTTGGATCCACATCTAGGCCCTACCACTTATTAACTGTGTGATCTTGGGAAATTTACTTAACTTTATTGAGCTTCAATGTCCCCACATACAAAATTAAGAAAATATTACCTATGGGTTTGATGAACGACTGTTAGAAACAGTAATCTATTTTACTCACTTTAACATACAAAGTTTGTCCCTTTCTTTCCTCCTTATCTACCCAAATCTTACCCATTTCATAAAGGTTCATTCAAATTCCATTTCTTGAATAAAGCTTCCCCTAGTCTCAAGTGACTCCCTTCTTCTCTGATCTCCTAGTAAGACCTTCATGTAGGGAATTCATCTGATAATTAATCACTTATGGCCTAGGACCATTTTCAGCTTGCCAGCTTGAACCATTACATCATCTACCCCAGTACCTAGCAGGAGTCCTACACATAATATGGGAGTAATAAATATTTGTTGGTTCCATAGTCATTTCATTTTTTAAATGACTGTTGGAAAATAGTCAGCCAAGAGCTTACAACATTGTCCATGACTTATCTATAGGGATCATAGAATAATAGTACTAAATATCATTAAACTGTCTTAATTTTTTTTAATAATAAGAATAATAACTACCATTAGTTGAACACTTAATACATGTGTACTATTAGATGTTAATGAATATTAACATAGATGTTAATGAATATTAATAATAGCTAAGAGATTAAGCTGGAAAGTCTGCCTGCCTTAGTTTAAATCTCAGCTTTATATTATTGTGTAAGCTTGGACAAGTCACTTCACCTTGTATGGCCTCAAGTTTTCCAACTATAAAATGGGGATAACAGTATCTTTCTAGAGGGATTGTTGTGAGGAACACCACATTAAATTAGTACAAAGCCTGACACATAAATGTCTTCAAATAGTGGCTACTGTTATTATTAATTAAAACAACAGCCGCTATTATTGCCATGAGAAATCTAAGGCACAGAGGAATTAACTTGTCCTTATAGCTAGTATGAATTATTTATTTTTTAAAGTACAATTTGCATAACTTCCTTTAGTAGAGAAATTAAGGAAGTATGTGCTAGCCTGGTGCCACTGCATTGAGCGGAAACAATATGGAAAGATAAATATCAATTGTAACACAGACATGAACATCGTTAACACCTAAATGCGATGTGGTATCCCAGACTGGATCCTGGGACAGAAAAAGGGCATCAGTAGGAACACTGGTGAAATCCAAAACAAAGTCTGTATTTTATTTAATGGTATTGCACCAATGTTAATTTCTTAGTTTTCATAATTATACCACGGTTATATAAGAGGTTAACATTAGGGAAACTGGGTGAAGGTTAAATGGGAACTCTGAACAATTTTTGTAACTTTTCTGTAAATCTAAAATTACTTTAAGATAAAAAGTTTTTAAAAAGTTGTGATAAAAACTTTTTTTTACAGGGAATAAATTGGCTAGTGAGGTCACTGTTAAGTGTTCTGTACAGCCTTATAAAATAATGGCGATGAAGACTATGAATAGTACTTTAAAATACCCACAATATAATGCTGAATCTGAAGAAATGAGATAACAAAGTTGCATGTATATCATAATAATTGTGAGGGGCAAAACAGTGTGGTGCTTACAGGCACAGACTCAGAAGTCAGATTCTGTGAATCTGAATCTAACAGACTCTGACTCTGATAGAATAGAAAATTCAGTCAGTCTTCTAGCCACATAACCTTGGGTAAGTAACTGACCTCTATATGCCTCAGTTTCCTCATCAGTAAAATGGGAAAATAATAGCCCACTGCATTCAGTCAGCTGTGAAGATTAGACACATGATACATCTTAGAACAGTATCTGGCATATAGTAAGTGCACAGTAAGTGTTACCACACACACACACACACACCTGGCATAAAGTAAGTACACAGTGTTACCACACACACACACACACACACACACCCCATGCTGGGAGGGAAAAAAGACAGAAATGAAGATACATAGCAAAATGGGATGTTAATATTTTCAGATGACGGATTGTGGGCGTACTTTTATTTCCCCCCATTTTCCGAATTTCTTTCATATGTTTATACTGCCTTGACAACTTAAACCTTTTATAAATTAAAAGAAGGGAGAAAAAACTACCAAATACTTCTTCACTGGGTGACAGGTATATGGGAGCACATATTGTTATCTCTACCTTAGTGTACATTTGAACATTTTCATGGTTAAAAGAAAAAAATTAAAGGAGAAAAAAAATCTCAGCAACCTAATGGATTTCTCATATTCTAGAGGAACTGACTCTAGATTTTAGCTATACTATGACAGACACTTACATAAAATTAGAATGAGAGGGGTAAACATATGAAAATTTAAAATCAAGACTCACCTCAAAGGGAACTGTTTTAGTGTGCCGGGGCTACCATTTCCTTTTTTTTTAAAACGAAATGCTCCACAATGATGTGGTAGAATGTAAACATATGTATATATAGGTTTATACAATATTAATATCTCTACCTGAGAAGTGACTGCTCCAGTGTTTTTCTGGTCTGATGGTTAAATACATATTTATATTTTTAAAGTCAATATTTGTACAACAGACAAGAACAGTGCCTATCAGCTAAATACATATTTAGGACTGTACCACATGTATTACAAACATGTACTAAAATCGAAAGTTTATATTTATACAGAGCCTTTCATCTTGAAGGGGACTAAAGAGCTTTACAAACATATGTACATAAAAGGACGTCTGCACTGATAGGCAGGCAAGCTATCAATTCACCTGCTCCCCTATTTCTTCCAGCAGCCCAGGCTAGGAACACATGGTGTCAACAGATGCAGGTCTGTAACAGCTGCAAA